AACTTTTTCACACCACTGTATATATATATATATGTATATATATATATATATATGTTAGGGTTGTAACGATATACCGGTATGACGGTTTATCACGGTTTGAACGTGCACGGTTATCATACCATAAACATTTGCATATCTACGGTTTAAAAAAAAAAAATTTGAATGAAAATAAATCTCACCAGTGCATATGCAACTTATTTCCGCTCGGTTGCTTCACTCTGCATTCACTTGGCTGCTTACATGCACGTGCAGCGGAGAAAATGATAGAGACGGAGATAATATCTAATCTCCATCCCCGCCGAAAAAAAAGTACAAATCTGCAGTATGGGAATACTTCGGATATTTAAAAAAATCGAACGCAGGGTTGTCCTTGAGGACAGATCCAATTTGCAAAAACCGTGGACGCAAAGTGGCTGCAAAAGCAGGCAATACATCCAACATCTTCGCTCATATTCGCGGACACCATCCCTCCGTGCAGATGAAGGTGTGTCGCATAAATAACAAGTTAAGTATGATTTCCGTGATGCAGAGAGAATCCCGGTGCAGTCGTGAACATGAAATTTACAGTATAACGAGGATGTCAAGTAAAACGCGCAATCTGATGGATGGATAAATCAAAAGTAGTCCCGTACGTGACCTCCCTTGTCCCGTTTTTTGACTGCTACGCTGGTCTAACCACTGACTGATACAGCAGCAGCAGTGCTGATCACTTGAGAATGAGCACCGATACCTGTCATCATCCAATCACAGCGCCCCTCACGCAGTATACATTAAGTAAATAGTGTGTGTGTGTGTTTGGCCTTTGGCTGACTGTGGTGTATGTGTTTGCAGTGGCATTCTCTATCACGAGAGGAACAGGCCAAATACTACGAGCTGGCCAGGAAAGAGAGGCAGCTGCACTCTCAACTCTACCCTGGCTGGTCCGCGCGAGATAACTATGTGAGTCTGACATTTCAGCACACAGCCTTACGCTCACATTTGTATGCTGTCAAATGGCACTTTCCATCAATATGGTACAGTTGGGTTTCACTTGCTGTTTTTGTGAAGCAGTAGAGTAACAAATCCAGTGATTTTTTTTATAATGTATCAAAAATCTATACACCATCACGTAAGAATAGTTATTGGTCTTTCAGATCTTCATCTAAAATCATATGTCATCATTTTGAAAATCTGTTGTATATTGATCCTTGTAGGAAAAAAAGGATTTTTAATTCAAAGAAAAGAAACATCAAACAAATATTTTTCTTAGATTTTTGGGAAATGTAAGTTTATCACTAATAACTACAAAAAATATTAGGCCTAATTTTAAACCCTATTCATGGAAAGTGCTTGAAAATAAAATTCAAATAAATTCTATTCTTTTTAACTATTCATCAAAGACAACTGTTTTCAACATTGATAATAATCAATGTTTCTTGAGCAGCAAATCAGCATATTAGAATGATTTCTGATGGATCATGTGACACTGAAGATTGGAGTAATGATGCTGAAAATTCAGCTTTGATCACAGGAATAAATTTCATTGGAATATATTCAAATAGAAAACAGTTGTTTTAAATCGTAATAATATTTCACAATATTACTGTTATTACTGTATTTTTGGTCAAATAAATGCAGCCTTGGCGAGTATAAGAGACTTTCAAAAACATTCAGATATCTTTGAACATTAGTGTGTAACTATTTTTGCACATTTGTTGCATGTACATACAGTGCATGGGTGTGCGGTCACACTGGTACGTGTGTTGTGTAAATGGCGTGTGTGTATGTACAGTATATGTGTGTGTGTGTGTGTGTGTTTGGCCTTTGGCTGACTGTGGTGTATGTGTTTGCAGTGGCATTCTCTATCACGAGAGGAACAGGCCAAATACTACGAGCTGGCCAGGAAAGAGAGGCAGCTGCACTCTCAACTCTACCCTGGCTGGTCCGCGCGAGATAACTATGTGAGTCTGACATTTCAGCACACAGCCTTACGCTCACATTTGTATGCTGTCAAATGGCACTTTCCATCAATATGGTACAGTTGGGTTTCACTTGCTGTTTTTGTGAAGCAGTAGAGTAACAAATCCAGTGATTTTTTTTATAATGTATCAAAAATCTATACACCATCACGTAAGAATAGTTATTGGTCTTTCAGATCTTCATCTAAAATCATATGTCATCATTTTGAAAATCTGTTGTATATTGATCCTTGTAGGAAAAAAAGGATTTTTAATTCAAAGAAAAGAAACATCAAACAAATATTTTTCTTAGATTTTTGGGAAATGTAAGTTTATCACTAATAACTACAAAAAATATTAGGCCTAATTTTAAACCCTATTCATGGAAAGTGCCAAATGTTCTTTATATTATATAACTGCATTTCTTTGATGCTTTTGTTTGTCCATTCTGTATTATTATTTTACTTCATTCTGTATTTATCGCTCTAACTCTTTTTTCCATCTCTCTCGCCCTCTGTTTCTCTCACTGTATTTTTTTCTCTTCAGGGCAAGCGGAAGAAGAGGAAGAGAGATAATAAGACAGACTCAACACCAGAGGGTGAGGACACACACACACACACACACACACACTCTCGCACAGCCTTTTCTCTCTCGCCTTGTCCATTTCTAACCACGCTCTCTCCTCCTTGCTAACATGCAGCTTATGAGGTCCAGTGCTAGCACAGGCAGGTACAGTATGTCTGCAGGCTTAGGGGCCGTTCACACAGGATACGGTCTTTTTTCTTCTATTGTTCAATCATTGGTTTACATACACATGCAACAAATGGACGTCTTTGGCAGTTGCACCACGTCTTGCTGTATTTTCATCATCTTGCGCCATTAGCAATGAGAGGCCATGTCAGTTCAGTGAATCAGTGTCTGTTTAAAACAGTGGACCAATCTGATGAATGTGGGAGTGAGATATAAGCATGCTAAGTGTTTATTGTGACGGGTCTATGTTAGTGTGCCTTCTGTTTTTAAAGCAAGAGCGTGTCCTGTGTGAACGTCCTCTTAGACAGCCTGTGTCAGAACTGTAGAAGTCAGCCCACTCTTCATTGTGATCTCATCTACGACTACGTCCACCATTTGAGTACAGTGACGTCAATAAATTAACACAACGCCATTTCCATTTTGTGTTGAGTATTGTATGGGTGAATCTCATTAAAGCTGCAAAGAAGAACATGTCTAGGTAATATTTCACCCCAAAATCAAATATTTTGCATAAGGAAACAACATGGCAATTAAGTAAATTTTCCACCAGATTCTTATTAATGTAATGCAAAAACGGTATGCTGCATCAAATCTAAAGAGAGCAGTCTTGTGTTTTTTAGCCCAACCGCTCAAAAAATTTAAAAAAATTAAAAAAATTAATAAAAAAACCTTCCTGACCACTAGGAGGTGCTGTGCTGAAACTGTGCAGATACCCTCAGGTCATAATTATTATAACACACACCAAGTTTGGTTTAAATGCGCTAAAGCATTGCAGAGATATAGCCTCACATCCATTTTGGCGTGTTCTTCGTTAATTTTGTTTGCGTGTAATTCGAGAACGCTTTGACTAATCAACTTGAATTCCATAATTATTTGTCAGCCATGTTCTGAAGATGATCTGATTTGGTCTAGGAGTTCTAAAAATGGAAGATTTTTTTTTTTATTATTCAATGGCGGGAAATTTAAAAATTTAAAATTGCAGTTCAGTTAAAACAATTTTTTTTTTAAAAATTTCATTTAAAAGTGGCTATTACATTGAGAATCGAATGTGAATTATTCAGAATAATGGGAATTGGCATTTTCTTTTCACAATTTGTGAAATTTCTTAGGATACTGCAACAAAAAAGTATAAAATCACATTCTGTGGCACCTTTTTAAAAAACGAATTCAACAATTAATAAATTATTATAAATGCAAAAAAAAAAAAAATGCTTTCTTGGAAATCTTTTCCAAAAGAATTGCGTTTTTTAAAATTCAGCTAAGAGGTCACGCCGTGACATATCAATCTTTTCTTCAGATTCAAGTTCACCAAACTTGAACTTTGGAACGTAGCGAATTGCGAAACGTCTTTGCGTGAACTTGCATTTCCAGTCTTTAGCATTAAGGTGTATGAATAGAAGTCAATGAAGTGAAAAGTGTAGTGTGATCGTCCTTTAAAATTTTCAGATGCATTGCATCAACGAGAATTTGGTGGGAAAATGTGCTTATTTGTCCTGAAAATATCTCTGGATCGAAAAAAAATAAAAAATGAATTTTTTAAAATGGCAGCTGAGGTTTCTGTGAGTGTATCATGACCTCGCTGTTTCTGGGTAAATTTGGTTTTATCTCTGCTGTTGTTTAGCAGATATATTAACTCTGAACGGTTAGAAATCCTCACCATTCATATTGTGTGACTTCCGTCCTCTTTCAGATTTCTCGGCACGGAATAAGAAGCCGTGTGTGCAGTACCTCCCTCGGGAGAAGATGATTGACAGCCCGGCCTCCTCTCACGGCAGCATGCTGGACTCTCCAGCCACGCCCTCCGCAGCCCTGGCCTCGCCCGCCGCTCCCGCCCCCACTCACTCTGAGCAGGCTCAGCCGCTGTCACTCACCACCAAACCCGACCGTCACCATCACTTCCCTCTGCTCTCCAAACCCTCCTCCTCCTCATCATCATCATCCTCTTCAGCATCCTCCTCCTCCTACCAGCCAACCAGTGCCTCAGGCAGACAGTCAACTCCGCCTCTTCTGTCTCGGCCACTCCCCTTGGCTTCCCTGCATGCCTCGCTCCTGTCTCCGCCCTCCCCGTTCCATCAGGCCGCTCTTCACTCCCATCATGCTTTGTTCCAGTCCCAGCCGCTCTCTTTGGTAACCAAATCAGTTGACTGACTCTTCAAAAGCAATTCTCTCTTAATGTCTTTTACATAATGCTGTATATTGCTTTTTACCTTTTGGAGAAATAGATGTCAGGTTAACTTTTTTGATAAGTGAAAAGGAAATAAATATTATTGGTCAATATTTGATCATCTGCTTTTCTGTGTCTGTATAAAACAATGTATTTTTTGTAATGTCTACTTTGGAACTGGTTTCTTATTTGATGCATTTATTCAGTAAACTTGTATAAAGAATACGTATTAAAAACTACTTTTAAAAGACAAGAAGGAACAAAAAAACCTTTAAGCTTGCCTGTAATTAATGGTAGTTTTGGAGTTTCATTCATAGTACTGGCAATTTATTAGACCTCTTTGCAATGACCCCCTCTACCCCAGTTTTGAAGTGTGTGAACTTGATAAATAAAACTTGTAAATTGTTTCTAAAAATGGATGGCATTGTCATCTTGGGGTCAAGTTTATTAATTCATTGGATGTCTTTTCCTTTTCTTTTTTTAATTGTCCAGCCGTGAATAAGTCATGGAAATGAACAAATCTTAAAATATGTTTTTAACCTTTTTTTCTATCAATAAAAATTGAATAAAATATAAAATACTTTATTTAAAAGTGGTTAAAAATGTAGCCTGAATTGTAGCTATCAATTAGTAAGGGTGAGTTAGTTTGAGATCAAATGCTGATATGTAATAATTGTTGAACATTTATTTCCCATAAATGAATTAAAAATACACAAGCATTTAAAAGTTTGGGGTTGATAGGTTTTTAAAATGTTTTTGAAAGAAATCGCTTCTGCACACCATGGCACATTTGATCAAAAAATACAGTAAAAACCCTAATATTGTGAAATATTACAATTTAAAATAACTTTTCTATTGAAATATATTGTAAAATGTAATTTATTCCTGTAATGCAAAGCTGAATTTTCAGCATCATTACTCCAGTCTTCAGTGCACATGATCCTTCAGAAATTATTCTGATTTGATGCTCAGGAAACATTTCTTATAATGATCAATCTTGAAATGGTTGTGTTGCTTAAATATTTTTGTGAAAACTGCAATACGTCTTTTTCAAGATTCTTTGATTAATAGAAAATTCAAAACCGCAGCATTTATCTCGTGTAAAGTCAAGACCGTATTAGCTTGACTATTTTATTTGCATGTCTTCTCACCCTATTAATTATGATTTTGTAATGGGGGAAATCAGACAGTGACAGCTGCATGCAAAATGTGGGAGACTGCTGAATATTATGTTTTGGTAATTAAACTGATCATTTAAAATACAACTAAGCATAGACAGGCCAGTAACCATTTAGATGTGTTACGACTTTTTAGTTTATTAGATTATTAAAAGTGCATCTAATATTTCAGATAAAAAATATGTTAAGATTAAGAATATGTAAGATTAGTTCTAATAGTGTTGCACAAATGGTAGGCTACCGTATTCGTGGGAAACGCCACAATGTTACCTCAAAATGCAGGGATTTTGTAATACTCCTCTAAAAACAACATCTAGTGCACAAAATGATAGCATAATAATCTTCTCGAGAAACCCTGCTGATATAAGAGGAATTAGAGTTAAATCTTTAATAGGTGGAATTTAGGCAAACCGCACTGGAAAATAAACAGATGAGCCAGAGCAACACAAATTTCTGCCAAAAATAAACAAGGGTTTAAAAAAAAAAAAAAATAGACATCTGTTCCTTCCTGGAATGCAAAGTCCCAAAACAACGACAAAAAGCAGGTCAAACCCTGCCTTCTCTTTTCCTCTCACTTCTCGCGTGGCGTCTTTATTTGTGGCTTGGCGAGCCGCCGCTGGCGCTGTAATTAAGTGCGCGGTAATAGGATGGAGCTCCAGGGAGCTCATTAGGCTTTTCAATTAGTGAAAAATACACAAGGTAGAGTCCTCTACTTTTTAGGCACTTTAGAAACGGGCAGAGATGCCAAGAACGGTCCCTTTCACGTTCCCCTCAGCTGGGAAACAGGGTGGAGGTGACACCCTTGACAGACCTCGTGTTCCTGAGGGGGCCCTTCAAAATCCGTCGTATCTGTGCGGTGAGACCCTGATTTCACTTAACGTTAAATCTTAAAGTCCAAGGAATCCCGCTCATAAAATGTACATTTCAACAAACGCGAGGCCTCAGAGTAAGTCGGGGCGAAATTAGACCCGCTGATGCTCAATTATTCACAACAATCGCGCTAAAATTATTATAGCCACCTCCCACGCAGCCAGAGCCATATGCAGGGCTTTATAAATACCGACCGAGGCCACAAAATGGAGCTTGCTTACGAGGTACGTTACACCAATCACGTAAATGATATACTTTCAGTTCAAAATAGAGAAATTAGATTAACATTAATTTGCATACCTTATTATTTCAGTCGTCTTTTATCGCTTTTCTCGTAAAACAGCTGTCAAATAACCGTCAACTGAAACTCATTGCGGAATTCTCTCTCAGCAGCCTCAGTGAACCAGGGTTGCCAGGTTTGCGTATAAAAAAATTAGCACAATAGTAGCCAAAAGTGGCCATATCCCAAATATCAAAACTCAAAATATATCTCCATACTTAAATATTTTACAGTCACATTAAAATTGTAGTGATCATAAACACAGTTCAGGGGCTCCCTACTAGTAGCCCTCCTATGCAAAACGTACCATCTTTGTGCAGTTTTATCATTAGTAGAATATAAAATAATCCAATACAAGCATTTCAGTCAAATATAATTTATATGCAATATGTCAAAACCTGTAACCAGCAGGGAGAAATCAACCCAAAAGCAGCACAAAACTGGGGACCTAGCAACCCTGTGAACAGTCTGTTTACTTTGATTTGATTGGTCATCTCAATCACTATCTGGTCTCCAGTTTTGAGTTTACATCTTGCAATTCATTTTTTTTTATTAATTTTTTTTGCCACAGAATAAAACATTTAAGGAATTTTTTTTTTTAATTTCCAAATTCTGACTTTTCTCTCGCAATTGTGAGCTTATATCTTACAATTTGGTCTTTTTTCTGCAGAATTGTGAGTTGTTGCAATACAAGTTTACATCTCGCAATTTTAACGTTTTCCTCTGAATTCTGTCTTTATATCTCACAATTCAGACACTTTTTTTTCATTCTTCCAATTCTTTTCTTTCCACCACAGAATAAAATAAAAAAAACGCAATTGCGACTTTTTATCACACAGTTTGGTCTTTTTATTCTCAGAATTCTAAGTTTACATCCGACAGTTCTGATTTAAAAAAAACGCAATTGCGACTTTTTATCACACAGTTTGGTCTTTTTATTCTCAGAATTCTAAGTTTACATCCGACAGTTCTGATTTTTTTTCTCAGAATTCTAAGTTTACATCCGACAGTTCTGATTTTTTTTCTCAGAATTCTAAGTTTACATCTCACAATTCTGTCTTTTTTTCACACAATTGCAATTGAGATACGTAATACACATCTCACAATTCTGACTTTTTTTCTCAAAGAATTTATATCTTGCAATTTTTCCACCACATAATAAAAAAACAAAAAAGATAATTGCGAATTCTGACTTTTTTTCTCACTATTGTGAGTTTATTCTTTATCTTTTATAGTTTTTATAGTTTTTTTTCACATAATTGTGAGATAAAAAGCTGTTTTTGTTTTTTTTGCATTTTTTTTTATCCTGTAGTGGAAACAAGCTTCCATACTTGCAGCACCAAACTAGACTTAATATTATGCAGTTATCATTTTGGTTATATAAACCCTGGGGGGGAAACGAGACCTCAGTGGCAGGTACAGCCATGCTCCCATGAACATATCTGTGTGTGTTCACTGGATGAATAATATTGAGCTGCAATAATGTGCCATAAGATTCAGACTCGCTCCATCCAGAGCTGTAAACGACGTGCCTCACACTGCCAGCAACAGCCAATCAAGTCAAGTTTGCAACGCATCATTATCACTAATTGCTTAATGATGTCTTACAGTGTGTGTGCTGTTTCCCATATGATTCAACTATGAGCGGTTTTAACCGTGTGCGTGTGTGTGTGCGTGCGTGTGTGTGTGCGTGCGTGTGTGTGTGTGTGCGCTCACACGCGCTACGCGACCCACAGCGAGCCGGGCTGAGTGACTTTAATATGACTGGCCTGTTAGAGAGATTGGCTGGAGAAAGATATCTCAAGCTTGTTTTCTCCAAGTCAATTCTTGGAAAAGTGCTTGTTAACTCTTCCAGTTGCAGGCACAGCACAATTTTGTGTTTACCTGATGAGCTCAGACATGAGTTAATTGTGTTGCACTTCGTTGCATTAGCATTTTATTCTAAAATATCTTCTACTCTATCTTGAATAGAGCCTACACCTTGCTAGTATTTTAAGCAGCAATGGTATTTGTGGTTTTATAATTTAACTGCACATTTGATATTTTAGTGCGCTAATAATTGGTATATATTTATATAATAAATGAATATTTCATTATTTATTTAATTCTAAAATTATATATAAATTATGTAATAATAATTAAATATATAAATCTGTTTGAGTCTGAAATAAAATCATTTATTCTAAAGTGTTTCAAAAGTTAAACCCCAGAATAATGTTTTAAAAAATATTCTAATTTTAATAGATGTATAATAATAATAATATATTTGTTTAAATCTAAAATTCTATTTAATTTAAATAATATGTAACTATAATTAAATATATAGGTTTATTTAATTATTAAATAAAAAACAAAACAATATTCTAGTTTAGTAATGTAAACCCAAATATTTAAATAAAATATCAAATTTAAATAGATTTATACAATTTTATATATATGCAGGTAAGCAGAGCCTTACTGATATTTAATATTAGAAAATATGACGCTTAGTTAATACTGAGTAACTTTACCATTCAAACATTTTGGGTTGGTAATGTGTGTATATATATATGTATATATATGTATATGTATATATATATGTGTATATATATAATATTATACATTGTTTTAATATATTTTTCATTTATTCTTATGATGCAAAACTAAATTTTCATTATTTCAGTCTTCAGTGTCACATGACCCTTCAGAAATCATTCTAATATGCTGATTTGCTGCTCAAGAAACATATTATTATTATCAATGTTGAAAACAGGTGGGCTGCTTCATATTTCTGTGGAAACGATTATACATTTTTGTTCAAGATTATTTGATGAATGTCAAGGTCAAAAGTACTTACCCCAAATTTTTGCACAATAGTGTACATTGCAAGCACAATATGGCCAGCTTGTTGATTTTTGACCTATAGCTTAGTAACACTTGTTTCCAAAATAAAATGTTTACCACACTTGTTTAACCTTTCTATTGCCAAATGTTTGATGCTATGTTTTTGTTGTTGTTGTTGTTGTTGTTGTTTGTTATAAAGTGATGCATCGTCTAACATTTAACCCCTCACACACCCTGTTCTTACTATGAACTCCTTCATTTGAA